CTTGGCAAGTCCTCAAATAGTGAGTGTAACATAACAACTGTCCATACCCATGGCAGATACACCGCAGTTTGTGTATTCAAGAGGATGAAAAGACACTTGTCTCGTTTGCACGTGAAGCCATACTAGTATTTGAGGATAGTTCTATCATTTCGAATACTATTTCGATAGATACATGGAAAAGGTATAAGGAAAAAATAAATAAGAAATTTAGCCAGTGTAACAATAGTGGTGATCCAAGAGAGATTTTCCAAATAGTATTCAAAAAGGAAAATGACCAAATGTTTGGCAATGGATTTATTGAGGTTTAATGTATAACAACCTGGAGCAACACAAAGATTCAACAGGAGGTCGGTAGCCGGGCGGTTTAACGTGGGTGCTTTGTTAACTCAGTCAATCGACCGATGTGTGAGTCGATGGGTCAAGCCCCAGATTGAACGCTCGATTTTCACTTGCTATCGTCCAACCCGTGTTAGGAATCACACGTTGAAAGGTAAGACTTCGTTAGTCCTTAGCTCGCACACGTTCCGACTTCTGAGAGTTTTCGTTCGTAGGGGTGCGATAGCTGGTTAACGGAAAAAACATATTTCAAACTTATTTAGGGTTTGTAAACACACTTAGAAGAAGTAGGTGGTTCATGATAGAGTAAGTATTAGTTATGATACAATTTGAAACATATTGGTTTCATGGTAATTGTAGTTTTCAACTTCTTATTCTTCGGTACAGAATGTTATCTACGGTTTGCTAGGACGACAAACTAGAGGTGATTTGTCAATATGCAATTCAGACCTCGCATTAAGTGGAATGTTTTGTGAAATAACTGCGAAAGTATCAAGAGTGTGCGACTTGATATGGATTTTATTACATACCTTGAAATAATAATAGATTCAATCACTTCCCAATTGAATAAAAGTAGTACTAATAATCATTTCTCCACTTTTTACGTTATATTATTTGCGACACAATCTGAACACAAATAAGGCCTTTTTGCCAATTTTAACTCATAGATTGTATCATACCAATAATTCAAATTTCTGTTTTATATTCTCACAGATCTGAGGTTCTTCTGCGCAGTCTACAGTAGCACTCTAAATAAATAAAAAACAGAAGGCTGACACCTATTCAAAGTCCATATTATCCATTTTTTATTATTTTTATTCATGTTATGGTTGGGTATACAAATAGACGTCAACTAGTTCTGTCCTTCGTTTGTTCAGTCGTAGACTTTACTGCCATAGTTAGTGATGTCATTCTTAGAATCGGTGGGCTTTGTTGATGTCTATTTCATTAGGTGAGAAAATTGAACCGATACCGATTATGTGTGTGAAGAATGAAGTTTTAAAAGGTTCTTTTTTGTGCCAAGCTACGTATAGAAAACACGTAGTGCTGATTAAAATAATAAAAATCGAAATAGATATTTACCAAGTCTCACTTCCGAGTGAATTCAAGAATGTATGACTGATGTCGATATACAAAATTTTCACAAATCTGGGGAGACGACTCTATACAGGGTGTATGAAGAATTTATAGGTGGACGATAGGTGCTTTTCTATTTGAAATGAAAAATAATTAACAACATATAGGGTGTCCAACACAAATGGAACTTTGTTTTTGAGTTTGTGAATGAATGAAAAACTCTAAATATTTCCATTCCATCTCACCAAAAAACTTTCTCGAAATTGTAGAGTTATTTAGGTTCATTCCAGGTTTTCATCAGGTTTCAAACTTCAAGTGATGCGTATTTCGAAATAGGGCAAAAATTAATTATATTTTCCTTTAACTATAATTGGTTTCTCGCAGTAGTCCTATCTCTTGATAACAAAACTCTAAAGAAATGAGGTCTGAGACTATTGCGGTTCTCTAGAAATGTATCAGTTGCAATAATCCCTTCTACTCGAGTGAATATTCAACACAGTTCACGATATCGTCGCTGATTTCACTTCTTGTGTCTTACACGTTTTGTTTACAAAAATCTCTTTCAGATAATCTTAGGTTATTCATTTCTGAAAACGAGATATAATGTCGAATAGACCTTGAATCAAGATGTCAAACTGATTGAATATTAGGTTTCAACTCCCTCCTACTTCTCGATAATTATATAATTACTATTTAAATGTTCTATGGGTGATTTGTTATGAACGAAGTGATCTAAATTTCGAAAAAATATCACATAAGCTTCATTCAACTAGTAGAATATACCCAAAAGAGGCAAACTAACTATTTTGGGAATTGAAAGAAGCCAGGTCAAATCATCCGTAAGCTGCCATTTTCTGACTTCATAGATGTTCTGCAAATGTCATTAGGACAGATGGATCAAATTTTGCGAACTTGAGAACTTCTTATATCTATTAAGAAGATCGAACACAGATCTTATCGGATCATACATTTGCCAGGATATTTCGAATCATTATTTGAGTTGAAACTGTTAGTGTCCAAGTGTCCACAATCGTCTTCGGGTGATGACCGGACTAATATCTCCAGATGACTATTTAAGGAAGGGTCATTCGAATATTTTCACTTATCTCCTCTTTCCGCTTCACCGTTTTAGTCTGCGTTGCGTTGGTAGTCTGGATTTCCAACCGATGACAATCGACATTAGCCGAACCGCCATAACTCAGTTGGAAGAAATATATGAAATAGATCCTAATGAAATTTGTTCTAAATTGTCTCGATGTTTCGAAATTTCAAACCAGTTTTCCACGAAACCCTTGTAATATATACTATGAATCGTGTGATATCTTTCAATTGATTTCCTCACCATACGTTATGATATTGTCTTATGGCAATCTCAGGCAATCTCGAGAAATCCCCAGGACGCAACACCGTGATATTATTTAGAACGTCCTACAATGATAGGATATTATCCACATCTTACCTGGACATCAGAATAATATATTTCGGGAAGAGGTTGGAATCATCCTCGAGATGAGGAGAAGATCAGGAATCCAGCACACTCTGTTATAACCTGCAAACGCCTCTAAATGATAGGAGCAACATTTGGAGGCTATAATGGGGTTTTTACTAATGAAAATAATGTGGTTAGCTACTTTCGAAGAGTGGGTCGTGGAAGAAATAAGGAAAACAGTGAAATATTACATCAGTAACACCACTTTTCTTTAAAGTCAACTGATTGCTTCTGCAAGTTGACACTGCACAAATACGACCAGGCATTTTTACTAAAAATTACAAGGTTATTTAATGGTTAGATAATTATTGCTATTATTTACAAAAATGTGAATATTTTCAATTTTTACCTTAATTTAATTTAAAAATGTTTCAAAATGGCAAAAAAAAACTCAAAAAGAAAGAAAATAACAGAGTCTTATATGGCGTCTACTCGTAAAAATGTAGAAAAGCACAAAAAAATACGACTTTCACAATAGCAAACTCAATGTTTCAGAAACCTAATTGGTATAGTTAAATAAAAATTCAATCAAAATAAACAAAAACAATGTAATTCTGTCCGAAAATAATCATCAAACAATGTTAAAATAACACACAGTCTTATGGCAGCTACTAAAAGTGTCACCACATCACATCTGCTCGGCGCTTGTTTAAGTTGGCGATATACCTATATAAGTAAGCAATCCTGTATGTCCATAATCGTTGGGTCTGTTCGAAGTAAAATAATCTTCAATGACGTCACAGGTGAACCCTTTTGATCAAACCTTTCAATGATATGAACTTAACAGAAGTGACACAGATTGCCCATATAACTCAACGGTAATGTGAAGTTATATTTTGAAAAACTAAATATTAGAACGTTAGGTCATTTATTTCTCGTATTTGTATTTCACAGGAATCTCAGAGAACACTCGAAGCACCAATTACCACAAGGCAATTACAAACAAGAACTGATTGATGGTTAATGATTGAATAATAACTAGATCAAATTGAATATACAAAGCGTATGATTTTCAGGGTATAGAAACCTAGAATTTAACGGATCTCATGGAAGCACTATAGCTCGTGTCACACGCGTAGCGTGAATGATCCGCAAATTGAATACCGTTCCAAAGTGAAAATCTTACTGCTAAGTCCGATTGAGTTCGGAAGCAGAGTGCGACAATGACGCTGAAAACAAACTTTTGCTTTATTCTTTGCTTGTCAATAATGAAGTGAAATCACCCTTGGAAACGAAAAAATGTGGACAATTTATGATATCAAAGAAGATGAGTGATTTTAGTAATAACTTCCAACTGAACCAAAACCTATTTGCAGAATTGCATGGGGATGATCCAACGAGACATTGACCCAAAAGGAATGTCATGCCCAACAACCTATTCCTACAGAGTATAGAAAGCCTTTGGCGACACTCGAAAGAATTGGCACGGAAAACTGTATCTTAACCACTGTGCCACGCGAGTCACGTGTCACGCTAGTGGCGACACCTCGTGTCCGGGCACAGACTTACACTGTTCTATTGGTTTTCATGGGTAGCAAAAAATCGCACTGTGCTGCGTCACCCCACACGCTTTCAATTTGCGCCTAGCTTCACTAAGGCACTAAATTCACCTCATCTTATCTCCTAATCAGCGGTATTCTGAACAGTAATTCACAAACATTAGAAACGTATAGGTTTTTCCACAAAGATTTACTGTTATGTAATACTCAACTGATTAAATATGTTTTAGATATATATCTACTCTTTGTTATCACTGTATATTCCGCTACAAACTTCTGTTCCTGTTCCGAACAAATTTCTGTTCCTACGTTAACGTTTCTGTGAAGCAGCGATATATACAAATAGTGTTTATTGAAAATAAAAGTGAATTCGTTAGTTTTTTTTGTTATATTTCTAAACTCCTTGTCTCTCGTTATAGCACTTTTCATGAACAGATATTTGCCTTTGATACGTCAGAAAGTTATACCTTCAATGACTTTAAAGTAACGTTAGTTTGGTCAGAGATCTATAAACCGTGTTTTCTCATAATTCTACTTTCTCTTCAATTTGCACACGTCAATCATTATTATCGAAGATAAGCATTTTTTATCTGAACTGTTTAAGAGTTTATCTGAATTAGTTCCCGATTTATACGAGTTACTAGAAGTTGAACAATATTTTCTGTATATTCTACGATGAATAAAATGACGTGGAAATCGCTTCTGTTCTCTTGTATCCTTTTTTTGGGAGCAATAAATGCAGTCCTCTGTAGTAGCTTCATTGAATGTCCGGACGTTTCGAAAGCGTAAGTTTTGAATTATTTATGGATTTTCGAATATCCTTGTGAAAGTTCCTAGGAAGTATATAAATATTTATTACTATTTGCCATTGTCTGCACTCAACAGTTGGTTCGAAATTCAAGCGCCGGCAGAAATACATCATTTCAACAAAAGCCAAAATTTTGACAAAAATTGTGTGAATATTTACATTTCATCAAATGTAGCAGAAGCTTTCCGAATTTCGCGGATATCATCAGTAATTACTGTGGTTGATTGCAAGGCCGAGACAATAAGCTCATGGTATGAGAAACCATATGTTTTCGAATGAAAGATATCAAGAGAAAACTGCATCGATTGTTGTTCCATGTCTTGCTGTAGGCTCATTTCGGTTATTATTCATTTGTAGTTCCAATTTATCTTGTAGAAAGTTTACCATCTATTTTTTCGATCGTGAAATTAACATTGTCTCCTACTAAACTTAGTGGCAATTTATGATGGTTTTTTCCTAATTCTTCAACGCCTACTCGACCGTAAATGTGTGCTCGCACCCCTCTCTCTCTCTTGCTCCTGCAGTAATATACGAAACGTTACTCTCTCTCTCTCACTTTCTATCTTCACTAACTCATACTTCCCTCTAAACCTCCGTTCGCCTCGACCTATCACACTTTTTCGTAACGCTCTCGTCACGCATTCACCAGCTCAAGGCTGGGCACAAATTGAGCGCGTGTGAGCTGACCTGCACGAACCCCACGAGACGCACGTGTCACAGGCGTAGCGTGGATGATCCGCAAATTGAACGTAGTTTTGAAGTGATAATCGTACCACTATGTCCGATGGAGTTCGGAATCAGAATCCGAGGAATGATGCTGAAGTCGAACTTTTGCTTTATCGTTTGCTCGTCTATAATAAAGTAAAATCACCCANATTTTTTTAATAACACTGTTCTGCTGTATTAAATTTTTATTTCCTTTAATATAATTTTTATGAATGCATATTCTTTTGGCAATTATCCCACTAGCGCGCCTCTGGCTCAGTATTTATCCGTCGATAACAATGGACAAATCCCTTAAAACAGGGTGATACCTACCTGCTCTTTATGAAACGACATAATTTTGCAATGCGGACTAGGGAAGTGACAGAATTTATTGACGGATCACCCTGTAGCGCTTTTGAATACTTAATGAGATTTTATTACTCTACACTCTTTTGAAATAGACTATAGTACGTTTCAAACCTTGCAACAGCCATATCATCGCCTGTGGACCAATAATGCTTCCAAGAAGGCAGTCTATGATAACCCATCAATTGGTTTATTCCAATAAATACGTACAGTTCTTCTTTTGTGAGGTTCAGTTGTTTGCCTCTTTGTATTGCATACAAATTACTCTGGAAAACTGAATCTTCCACAACAGGCAACAAAAACGTCAAAAAAACATCGGTGGGCGAGTTGCAATTTTCAAAACAATTGTCCACCGACCCCACAAAATAATCATAATCTGCGGTTATCTCATGCATATCTTTCTTTTCTTTCTCCACTTTCTCTCTTGAACTTTTTCTATATGCAATAGTTCAGAAAGAGGAATATTGTCATCTGAATCAAAATCAGAGTGTTCTGCTTCATATATTGTTTCGTTTGGATTTGGATTTTCTACTTGCGGATGTNCTCAGTTAACCGCTGAAGAATTTGGTTCATTTTGCAAGTCTTATGGTATCACACATATTCGATCAACACCGTATCACCCCAAGACAAACGGACTTGCAGAAAGAGCAGTGAAGACTTTCAAAGATCGCATGTCAGCTAGTGGACAAGAAAAAAATAAAGATGAACGTTTACAAAGTTTTTTGTTGACTTATCGTAATACTATACAATGTTCGACAGGCAGGGCTCCAAGCAAATTGATGTTTGGACGACATTTACGTACTCTGTTCGACCCGATCTATTCCGACACATGGATAAGGCAAAACTTGATCAGAAACTAATTCATGATCGTGGTTCAAAAGACTCGATATTTCATCCAAATCAGACGGTCTGGGTGAATAATCCACTAGGTAAAGGATCCACACCAGAAACAGTAACGGATCATACAGGACCTTATTCATATATTGTTGAGGTAAATAGAACACCAAAGAGGAAGCATGAAGATCAGTTAAGACCTCGTTTGAACCAACCTAACCAAGTGGAACAAAAACAGGAACATGCCAAGGATTCTGAGAAACCTTTAATAACATGTGTTTCTAATGCATTGCAAGATGAAGATTCCACCAGAGAAAGCATGACACAACCTGTGAATATAGAGATACAAGCCAATGACGACATCATTCAAGAAGAACAGACGATCTTTCCGGAGCCTAGAAGAAACCCGTCACGGAACCGGAAACTGCCTGCTCGTTATCGTGACTGAGTAAAACATTCATTCCTCATTTTGTTTTGATAGGGAGAAATGTAGTATCATGTTCCGTGTTTATTATTTCAGTTCTTTCATCTATCAGTTCGAATGTTCTGTGATATCAATTATGTCAATAAAAAGAAACACATCGACTATCAGTAAAAGGTGATTATTTCCATCAACCCAACCATACCACAGCTATCGTGATGGCAGAAGTAGCAAATCGGATCTCTCACTAATTCAATCTTCATAATGATATAAAACGGAAATAAATTTTAGGTCATTCTTTCATTTTTTGCAGCTGATTAAACTGAAAATAGTTTGACCCAGGTAATATGTACCTATTCAAATCTGCATGAATAGCAAGTATAGTACCCTATAGTAAATGGGTAGTGAGTATCTAAAGTATCTAAAGTTTTCTTTCTGCTAAACAAAATATTTCACCTTGGATTCACTATAGATTGAAATTTATGAATGAATGTTGGCTTGTGAGTGTTGTAATTATTTTCCTCAACAATGTGCTTCGCTGGAATTCTTTACACACCCGTGTATTCATTAACTTGTATAAACCTTCCAGGATTTCCGATAAGTACCTAACGTACTTCAAGCTGGTTTTCTCTCGTGCATAATACAGTTTCAGTATGCTCTTTATTGTAAGTGTTTGCTACTGGTCCCGTCTATTTGAAATGTTTCAAAATTCTGCCGTTTTGTTGATTTGAAATATGGTAACAAGGATTTGGAATACCAATTTCATACCTTGTTTCAGAATTTTTTCAAACGCATAATAGACGCAAAAAAGATGAAGTTGACGGTTGTCTGAAAAGTACCAATCCAAGTGGAATCTACTAATGCGCTTCAGTTTGTAACGACTTGCATCCAATAGATTTGATTGTGGCTGCTTTACGTATGTTATGATTCACAATACTGAAAAATACAATAAAAAAATTGAGACTCTGTTTTGAGTATAACCATAAACTCTGAAATTTTTCTTCAAATATAATTCCGTTCTATTTCTCGAAATGATGGTTTTTCATTCTTGAACATATTTAATTTTTTTTGACTTGTACTATATGCTGTTTGACTCTTGACTTCTGAGTGCATCTTATATAGTTATCAAAAATGCACGAACTTCCGGTATTTCAAACTTAGATTGTGCAGTGGATGAAAGTATTCATGTTTGAGAATTTGGGTAATAGTCAATATCTGTTAGGTATTTGGGAAAATAAATCATTCTCTGACTAGTTGTTTATAATTTATCTCAATCGTAACAAATCTGTGAAGAACTTTTTTTCAAAAAGCTATATATATATTCGAATATCTCTATAGTATTCAGAAGTCATATGCGATATTCATCAAGGTATTTATCTATCTATCCTATTTTCCCAATGTAGGACCAGAACTTGCTAATAAAATACCGCGGACTTCAAATTGTAAACATTCTTACAAATCACTACCCCATTCAATTTTCTTGGAACCTGCAACAGAAGAAGAAGTTATTAACACCATAAAATCTTTAAAAAACAAAAAATCACCGGGTTACGACGAAATTACCGCAGAATGTTTGAAGGAAATTGCAAATGAGATTGCAACACCACTGTGTTATTTAATAAACAATATTATTTATAAAGGTGTATACCCTTCTTGTTTTAAATTATCAATTGTAGTCCCATTACATAAAAAAGGAAGTAAAACTGAAGTTTCCAATTATAGNGTCTCAAGGTCTGTTCTTCTTTGCTTTTGCGAAACCAAAACGATCCTTTTTTAGATCGGATCGTCTCGTGGCAACAGGAGAGGAGGTAGGATACCGATGAGCTACACAGGCAATTTCCAAAGGCGAAAATCCTCCAAAAAAGACCATAGTTACTATATGGTGGTCAGCGGCCGGTGTGATTCACTATAACTTTCTGCGATTGGGCCAAACTATCACAGCAGAGTTCTATTGTGGAAAAATGGAGGAAATGTACCGAAAATTATGTCAAAGGTAGCCGGCACTGGTCAACAGAAAAGGTCTGATCCTGCTTCCCAAATGTCTCGCCAACCTTCTACCATCTTCTCAAGACCAGGCAAAAACGGCCTTTGTCTACTTCATCGAATCTCGTGCACATAATTTTATGCTGATGGAATTAATCGACTTGTGTTGGCAAAAGTGCAGTGATTCTAATTGCTCTCATTTCGATTGAATGGAATGAAGATCCACTGAGATATTACATTTTCAATAGATCATTTAAACGAAGATAACTTTTGGAACAACCTAATTAAATTTCACTTTCAGGTAAAATTGATGAGAATTACTTTTACTTTCGGAAGATACCAAAGAGGTAAAATCATCTGTTTTTAGTTGAAACAACTTCTTGTCTTCCTACATTTCTATCTTCAAAAAATGTGGGTACCTGCATCTGGAAGTAACTTCTGTTAATGATCTACACATTTTTTCAAATACTTTATTTTGAAGTTCATGCTTTCTTCCTTCTTGCGAAAGTTGTTTCGTATTGTTTTGATAATGCACAAATAGAAAGTGAAATGCTTTTTTTTCGAAAAGTTATTCTATTGTGATAAATATTACTTTCCAATTAAATGCTTGATTGAGTAAGAGAAAAAACTGTGACACACAAGTTTTTTTGGTTTGATGATTCTGTATCGTTTTGTTACTTATGGACCATAATACGAACTCTTTGGAAGTATGCCATATCCCCATATCCATTTTCAAAATAAATAATAAATTATTTCAGTATATGTTCGACTTATTCTAAAAAATCTTCATTTTCTTAAAAAGGTAATTTTGTGGTAAAGCCTCTTCTCTTAAGCTATGCGCAAATTGAGCACGTGTGAGCTGACCTGCACGAGCCGCTCGTGTCACACGCGTAGCGTGAATGATCCGCAAATTGAATACCGTTCCAAAGTGAAAATCTTACTGCTAAGTCCGATTGAGTTCGGAAGCAGAATGCGACAATGACGCTGAAGACAAACTTTTGCTTTATTCTTTGCTTGTCAATAATGAAGTGAAATCACCCTTGGAAACGAAAAAATGTGGACAATTTATGATATCAAAGAAGATGAGTAATTTTAGTAATAACTTCCAAATGAACCAAAACCTATTTGCAGAACTGCAGGGGGATGATCCAACGAGACATTGACCCAAAAGGAATGTCATGCCCAACAACCTATTCCTACTGAGTATAGAAAGCCTTTGGCGACACGCGAAAGAATTGGCACGGAAAACTGTATCTTAACCACTGTGCCACGCGAGTCACGTGTCACGCTAGTCGCGACACCTCGTGTCCGGGCACAGACTTACACTGTTCTATTGGTTTTCATGGGTAGCAAAAAATCGCACTGTACTGCGTCACCCCACACGCTTTCAATTTGCGCCATCACTAAGGCACTAAATTCACCTCATCTTATCTCCTAATCAGCGGTATTCTGAACAATAATTCACATACATTAGAAACGTATAGGTTTTTCCACAAAGATTTACTGTTACGTAATACTCAACTGATTAAATATGTTTTAGATATATATACATACATATATATACACATATATATAACATTTACATTTCTGACAAAAGGCAGAGTTCG